GATAGATAGATAGATAGATAGATAGATAGATAGATAGATAGATAGATCACAAGTTTCTGAACTGTTTCCCAATAAAGGTGCTGATCATGCCCTCTTGGAAGGAGGCTGTTCAAGGTATTCTGAAGAATTCTGAAGAAATGAATATTTCAATAATATAACCAAAGGCTAAAAACCTATATATCCAATGTCTATCTCAAAGAGATGCCATCAGGCTGAAAAAACTCAAATTTTGAGAATGTATTTTATATTAATATTGATAAATGATTTCATTAATAAACAGCATTAATAAATCCTGTAGAATGCCATAAAACCAGTCAAATCAAGAACCTCAGGTTGCAAGGACAGTAAGACATCAGCTCATTCGGCAAACCCCACCTTCCCAACTTACTCAGAATTATCTCAGGGTAACTCCAGGGCCTGGATCGAAGACCCTGTTCCCACTTATTAATCACAGGCGTTAAAAGAATGGTCTCTAGAGCTGTCACCAGTGTGCACACGTTCCTTGCTCATATTTCTCGTTCTGCTCATCCCTGGGCCTAAGGAGCTCTGCATCCCAGGGGAGTCTACGTCCTAGAGGAACTCATTTAAAACAAAGTAATTATCCAGGTTCTATCTAGCGCCAATCCTGTCGGAGACCTGCGTTTCTGATTATAGCCCCTGGCCACACATGACTACACTTTGGGAAATGGTAGGAGTAGAAAGAGCTGATGGGCAGGCGTTTACTCATCACCATGGTCCTCTGCCAATGGGGCTTACACTTGGTGAGGTGATGAAGAAGAGCTGAAGGAGCCAGCGAAGGTATGGAGCACTGTGAATACTTTGTCTACAATTTTCCACAACATGTTTTGAAGCAAAGTGCAAACCATTAAAGACACATGCTGAAGAAGGAGTCCCCTGGTGCATACTCAGACTATAATCCTATAAGCAGACCCTCTAAAATACATGTATGCTGCTAGTAACAATCAGACTTTCACAACCTGTGTACACGTTGGAATGTACTCCTTCAGGTTCAACTCACCATGTGCAATTCATCCTCCCGTCAACATACAAAAGTTCAGATCCTCACTTCATTCCATTTTTTTACCTTCATAGGAAAGCGTTAGCACCATCCACCACCGCCATTCCAACATTCTCTGTATGTACCTGAATACCCCAAAGCCGAGTTCTTCCAGTTCCTTTAAGTCACCGTTTAGTCACAGGCGACATTATAACTGCTCCTCCCACAGCTGCTTCCGCACTTGGCAGTCATCAGCTGGATGTGGTGCTTTCTCTACTTGGGAATCTGATCCTTGTCTGTTTATCTGCTTGTTGTTGTTGTTGTTGTTGTTTAAATTAACAATTTATTTGGGGACATGGAAATATTGAATGGTGCTCAAAGAATTCCCCAAGATTTTAGACACTGCACCCTGCTCTGCTACTCACAGAGCACCCAAGTTTCCCATGGTAGCCAACGTCATTCACCTCAAGCCTAACGGCGCCAACGCTCTAGTACACCAGTTTACATAAGCAGCAAAAGTATCTAGGTGCTAGCCTCAACCCGGAATTCAGTGAAACCACTGTTGCATTTTCCAGCAGAGAAAGTCACCCTTTGAGAACTAATATTTGGGGCATACCTTTTTCAACCTGCCATTTCTTACTTAATCCGTAGCTGCAAGAATCAGCCCCTGACTTCAGCTAGCTTTAGCGGGTGCAGATTGCGGCAGTCCACGTGAATCCTGCTGCACATGCTGCTTGAATTCTTCTCAAGATGTTCTCCAACTTCATAGCGAAGGGCACCAGGGCCATTCCCTTAGCACCTGGAGAACCAGTAAGATCTGTGGCCCATTCATGTTAATTATTTTAGAGAATGTGAGGGAGATGCACTGATGTGCACTTTTTATTTTGCTTTGACATATGGAAATCTTAATTTTCAACACTAGAGTCTATTGAACTGTCTTTCCATCATCCTAAAATAGCAGTAAATGGTAGAAGGATGGATTGATTCCAGTGTTGTGGTTCATATCTGTGATCCCAGCACTCAGAGGTAGGGGCGGGAGGACTGAGTTTGAGGCCCATCTAGACTCCATAGTAAGTAAGTCCTACCTCAATAAATCCAGGACCTGAGGCTACAGCTCAGTGGGAGAGCACATGTGGATCTTGTCTGTGATAAGATAATCCCAGGTCGCACATACTTCTCAATGTTTCTCTGTTATCACTATTTCCGTAATAACAAGACTGGAAACCAGAGGGTCTGAGTCCTTCTTTGTTCTCCTCCAAAACTGACTTTAGTTTTTACTTTCTTTGCTTTCGCAAATACATTTTATTATCATGTCATCAATTTCTACATAATAATTTTGTTAGGTCATGAACGTAAGTTGTTAACTCTCAAAATAAGTTTACAAAGAGGCAGTCATGTGAACATCAATTTTCTAGTCCAGAAAACGGTATCTATTCTTTATTCAAATCTTAATTTCTTAAGTCATCATTTTATAGTTTTGAGGATATCAGTCTTGGGCTTATAATTGTCCCCCTTGCCTGTGCTTCAGTTTTCATGGTTTGACTTATTGGCAGTGAATTATGACCCAAAATTATCTTTAAAATTCTAAAAATAGTTAATGACTAAGTTTTAAATCGTTGAACATTTTTCAAATATTTATTGGCCATTATATTTCCTCTTTGACAGCTGTCTATTCAATATGTTTGTGTATTTGTTGGATGATTTGGTTTGGAGTGTTTAATTTTTGGAGTTGTAGATATTAATCTCCTGCTAGATGTGTACATGGCAGACCTTTCCACCATTCTGTAGGCTTTCTCTTGGTGTTGCTGCTTCCCTCGCAGCATAGAAACTTCTCGCTTTCATGTAACTCCACTTGCCAATTCTTTGGATTATTTTCTGTGGTATTTGGAGTTCTTTCCAGAAAGCCCTTGCCTACACCTGTATCTTGAGGTGTTTGGGTTCTGTCTTTCTGCAGCAGTTTCAAAGTGTTGAGTCTCGTACTGAGGTCTTTGATTAGTTCCCAGTGGATTTTGTTAGGATGAGAGATAGGAAGCTTCATTCTTCTACATGTGCATATCCACTTGTTAAAAATGTATGTAGTTTTGATATGTAGTTTTGATACATATTAAACTATATAGATTAATTTCTGGGGTGATCTATAGTATCCCATTGCTTTATGTGTCCACTTTGTACTAGTAGCATAGCGGGCCTGAGTGTTTGGTTTGGCTTTGTCCCTATGGCTCCGTAGTACATTTTAAGATTAAGGAGTCTGGTATTTCCACCATTGCTTCTTCTGCTTAGGAATGCTTTGTCTATTTGGGGTCTTTTGTGCTTCTGTTGAATTTTAGGATTCTTTTTATTTTTATGAAAAAAGTCATTAATTTTTATGGGAATTAAATTTTATGGGAATTGACTGTGTAGATAACTTTTGGTAATATAAGCATTTTTACAATATAAGCATTTTTACAACCCAAGAATATGTGAGGTCCTTCCCTCTTCTAATGTTCTCTTCGATTTTTTCATTTGTTTTTTGTTTTTGTTTTTGTTTTGAGACATGGTTTCTCTGTGTAGCCTTGGCTATCCTGGACTCACTTTGTAAACCAGGCTGACCTTGAACTCACTGCCTCTGCCTCTGCTGAAGTCACAGGCATGCGCCACCACATCCCCTTTACTTTAAGTTCCCCTTCTAGCTTTAGGTTCTTAAAATTACTTCTTTGGCTATGTTTATTCTTGGGTATATTTAAGCTATTGTGAAAGGTAGTTTTCTACCTTTCTGATTTCTTTCCCAGCAAGTTACTTATTAATATCTAGAAAAGCTACAATTTTTTGTAGCCTGCTAATGAAGGAACTGAGGATGGCAGGGGTGGCTCCATTTTGTTTCTCTTAAGTTGACTGACCTTGAAATGACTTGACCCTCACCTTTGGGTTCGGAAAAGGGCCACATGGCCCTCCACCCTGCAGGTTGTCATAAATGACACAGAATGTGTTAATGGGTCCTCCACTCCA